AGGGAGGGGGGAGAAGAAGAGAAGATTACAGGGGGGGAGAAGAAGAGGAGAACATGGGGGGAGAAGAAGAGGAGAACACAGGGGGTGGGAGATGAGAACGTAGGAGAGAGACCACTAAAGGAGGGAGGGGGCGGTGGAGAGACCACTAGGGGAGGGGGGTGAGGAGAGACCGCTAAGGGAGGGGGGTGGAGGATAGACCACTAGGGGAGGGTGGGAGGAGAGGAGAGACCACTAATGGAAAGGGGGGCAGAGGAGAGCAGAGACCACTAAGGGGGAGACGAGAGACCACTAATGGAAAGTCGGGGAGAAAAGGAGACCACTAAGGGAGGTGGGGGGGAGAGGAGAGACCACTAAGGGGCAGGGGAGATCTCTAAGGAATGGAAGGGAGAGCTCTATAGGACAGGGGCAGGACAGGGAGCTCTTTCACACCACGCGCGCACACACACACACACAATGCATCCCTATACACACAGAAACACAACATGCTTCCCTTACACACAGAGAAACACACAATGCAACCCTTACACATAAAGACAATGCATCCTTTGCACATATACACAGAAACACACAATGCATCCCTTATACACACATTCAAGCACACACTGCTTCTCTTACACACACACAGAAACACAATGCATCTCTTACACACACTCAACGCACCCCTTACAGACACACACACTGCATCCCTTACATACACAGAAACACACTTTGCATCCCTTATGCATACAAACACAGATTTACACAATGCATCCCTTACACACAACAAGAAACACACAATACATCCCTACACAAACACTCACTGCTTTCTATCCCTTACACAAAAACACACTGCTTCCACTACACACAAACACACTGCTTCCACTACACACAAACACACTGCATCACCTACACAAACTGGTATCCCTATACACTACATTCCATAAGCACGCACATTAGATCCTCTACAGTAACACATAACACATCCGCTACACACTCCACTACCTGTGAGCGAACTCATGGGTGGAACATGTAGGTGGACTTATGGGTGGGCTTTATGGGCATACTCACCGTCAGGCCCTGGGGCCCAGACCTTGAGCTATGTAAGAGTCCCCAAAAAATGGAGCTGCTTCCCGTTCTCCCAGAACATTGAATTTTGTGACCACAGTTACAAACAGCCTCCAGAGATCCTGTTCTACACCAGACCAGTGGAGCCAGACTGCAGCCAGAGCCCATCACCATCCTCATCTGATTGTAAGTAGGCAATCTAGTATATTATTAGTGACACTAATCTCTAATTTACCTCACATTAAAGGGACACTATAGTCCCCAGAACCACTGCAGCTTAATAAAGTTGTTCTGGTGTCTATTTGTTTGTCCCTGCAGGCTTTTTAATGTAAACACACACTGTGTGCAGCACTGGCATTAGTTCATATGGCAGATCATATGGGTGGGGCATTGCGATGTCCCGGGGGGCGGCAAATCTTTCTTTTGCCGAGGGCGGCAAAAATCCTTGCACCAGCCCTGCATACAGACACACAGACATACACATACATACAGACATACACATACAAAATGTTTAAGTCACCCTCCTGTTTCCTACCTTTTGCAGGAGGGCGACTTCCCTGGGGTCCAGTGTGGGCTCAGCCTGAGGGGAGTCAGAGTTCCCACTCTGACTCTGTCCTCCTTCCTCCCGCGCGGCTCTCAGTGTTAGCTGGGAAGAGTGACGTGCAGTCACTTCCTCCCAGCTCTCTCTGACATCATCACAGGGGGCCCGGTTGCGCTGTTAAAGCACCCAGCGTTGACAATCCATATCCATCGGGTGGATCCCTCCATATGCGGTCCTGGCGGTTTGCTGCATGGGCCGGGGCCGCAAAATGTGGTGATAGCTGGTACCTGGTCGCGGGGGTCCGCTGGGTGGACGGGTCCCCTAGAGTGTCGGGCCCGGTCGCAGCTGCGACCCCTGCGACTGCGGTATGTACGCCGCTGTATCTATCCATCTATCCATCCATCCACAGGTCTTCCATGCAATATTATTTTGCTATAAAAAACCCATGGAAAAAAAATTGATGATTTGACCCCGCTGGTTATTCTTTTCAACTTGAAAAAGATCTGGCGTGGTTGAAACATTTTTTGTTTGTTTTCTTGTCACATGGATTTATTATAGTAAAATATCTATCTATCTATCTTTAATTTTCTACATGGGCAAAATAAATATTTTTGTACTAATTTACTTGCACCCTTTTGTGACATTTCATGCATTATAAAATCAAAGATCCTGTCATTTTAGGCCCTTTGGGTTTATATCTAGTAGACAGAAGTATGCTTTTACATTCACTCTGTTTTGTCAACCTGCTATGGCCTAAATTACTTTTCTAAAAATAGCTGTATTTTTATTAAAAACAGCAGACTTGAAAATCAGTTTTAAATTCAAACCATAGATTACCTGGGGAAAAAGAAAAATAGGAATGCAATAACAGTTGAGTAAATAGCATGGTACAAGAGGTAATGAATTGTTAAAAGAAATAGCCTGATAAGCGATTTATTTTAAAAAATTTAAGGTTTTAAAACTTGACTTAGAATTGCAATGGAATATGAATATGAACCTGTTTTGTTATTAGTTGGGGTGATAATTATCACAAAGCTTGAAAGAGTTTGTTATATCAGTTTATCAATGTGCGGGGTGTGTGTATATCTGTCTATCTATTTATCTGTAAAATTATACAAATACATGTGTATAATGCACTTTTACCTAAGGAAGAAGCCTTCTGAAGTTTCACCTTGGGGGCTCACAGAAAATCCTTAAATTGCTTTATTTTTAAGCAACACATTTTGAGCCTGTCCTTTAACCTTGAATGACATAGAATATGGCACATACCATTTATTCATCATGTGCTTAAAACATACTTTGTTTATAGTTGTTACCATCACACTTCCTCTAATCTCATTTACACAATCTAGCTTTAGGTACCTGCTAATAGTGGATGCTTTTTACTTTCTATTTCCTCACTGTATTGAACTGTTTCATTGTATCCCCAGAGGTAACTTTGTGACAGTGTGTGTTTCTTTCCCTTTGTTTTTGCTTGGGAAATGAAATTGGTTTTCTCTGATTACTTTGCCGTACAGCACAGAAAATTACGGAAATCCCAATATGTCCTTGCTGGTAAAATGAAATCCAATCTATGTATATGCAAGTAATGCAAAACACTCATCTTCCCCACAGGTAAATAGGGGTACTTCATGGTCCCTTGTTGCCTTTTATTGTAATGTTTATCACTTTTTAAATGTATTTTTAATCTGGTGCACAATAGTCAGCAGGAAAAAAAATGTTTTGGCTTTTGCAAGTAATACAGCATGCACATTCACATGTCTGAACTAATATTTTAGCCCTTAGTAACTGGCTAAATACCTATTCTTCGATAAAACATAGATCAAAAATATCCATATTCTACATAGACACTGAATTACTGTAAAGTTTTTATTGCACGGTTGCAACTAATCCCTGAATGTAAATCACTTTGCCATCTTACATGCTTGAATTTTTGTGCTGTTTCTGCAAAACTTGTAGCATATTTGGACCTTCGCACAGGGTTGGCCAAAAGGTCCTGATGTTTTAGAACCAAAACTTCAATTTTAAAGGCTAGCAAAGTATCATTAATTTTAGTTTTTACTCATCTGGGGATTTACCTATGTGGGACCCTTTTTTTTTTTTTTAAACTTGAACTATTGTATATAGGCTATATGCTTTTTATAGACTGTATTAAAAGAAGTCATCGTCTAGGTTTGATAACTGACTGATTCCTCTTCTGCAACTGTCACTAGTCTGATACTATCCTTACCTTTTTGTGTCATTTTGCCCCACTCCCTCTAGCATGTAAGCTCATTGAGCAGGGCCCTCAACCCCTCTGTTCCTGTGTGTCCAGCTTGTCTGGTTACAACTACATGTCTGTTCGTCCACCCATTGTAAAGCGCTGCGGAATTTGACGGCACTCTATAAATATCATAATAATAATAATAATAACAAATCCACTTAATGTTCAAACTCGGCATAGCTTACTTTCTTATATCAGAAAAGAGAATAAAATCTGGAAAGACTGTTAATAATCAACTTAATTTAAAAAACATTTTTTTTAAAGAAGACTATAATTGTAGATTATGCTAACTTTAGTGTACCGATAATCTTAATTTTATTAATGACAGGAGGCGAGTATTTGCTTAAGTCTTTCTTTACTTAAGCTTCACAGCAGCACTTTTTTACTTAGTAACAGGGTAACCAATCAGAAAAAGAGATAACAAGGTATAAGAGTTCCTCCCTGTGATGTCACTTCCTCTTTCTGGCTGCGAACAAATAGGAACAGGGACTGTAACTGAACCAGATGAAGAATTCAGGATGCCAGATGAGAAAGCAAATGTTAGAGAGGGAACAGGAACGTAAACATGTCTTCTTAGAGAGCCGAGGTGATGCTTGAGATGGAACGGCAACTGAACTTGTCTTCATGAGGGGCTTTATGCTGAAACGAGAAAGCAGAATCGAAACCAAGGATTAATCCGAGAATTGGATTTATAAAATATGACATTCGGTATTTAGAAAATCTCGTCTAAAAGCCCACCTCCTACTAAGTGTAACCTATCCACCCTTAGAGAGAAAACCCTTAGCCCTCCCCACAGTAGAGGTACCTAGAGTATGTATTTAGTCTAGATGAACTTACCTAGATAGGTGACCTTAGGGAGGGGAAAAAGAACGAGAGTGAAGGGTGGGAAATACTCGCCTCCTGTCATTAATAAAATTAAGATTATCGGTACACTAAAGTTAGCATAATCTACAATTTTATAACATGACAGGAGGCTTCGTATTTGCTGTTTTAACGCTCCCCAAGAAGGGCTAAGGAAGCGTGCACAGCCGGACGAAAATAGAAGTTGCGGAAAGTCTGTTCCCGGGACCAGTCTGCTGAGTGGAGAATGTCCCGAAGTGAGGCTCCAGCGCTGAAAGCTCCCGATGCCGCCGCTCCCCTGATAGAGTGGGCTCCAAAGGAGGCCTCAATCCCGGCGAGGGAGAGCAACCACCTAACCCATCGGGCAAGGGTTATGGTTGACACCGGATTATGTGGACGGACGTAGGAGATCAATAGTTGGCTGGAGGAGGTTGAACGAAGGGAGGAGGTGAGTAGTAAACAACGAGAGAGAAGTGATACCACACACAATTTTGGATGGTTAGGGAAATAAGGGTAAAATACCGAAGAAGAGTTTGATTTTGTCCGTCTGGACACGGAAAAGGTGACACCTTCGGGGGAAAAATTGATAGCGTCATGGTCAAATGCTCGAACATCCGACACTCGTCGGAAGGATACTAAGCAGAGTAGCAAGGTGAATTTAGCCGAGAGTTGACGGAGGGTTAGATCTTCGTTGTTCGGCCAGGTTTCCAGGAAACGAATCATGACGTTAACATCCCATAGATGGGAGTATTTTGGTGTTGGGGGGCGAGCCAGTTTGATGCCCCTCAATAGTCTGCAAACCAGCGGGTCCTGGCCCGCTGGAATTCCATGTAGAGGGACATGGGCTGCCGAGATTGCTGACCGGGCCACGTTGATGGACCGGTATGTACGGCCTAAGTCGAACAGGTGTGAGAGGAAATTCAGTATGGACTGTCTAGGGGCTGTAAGGGGATCGGTATTCCGTTCCATGCACCAATTGCACCAAGTACTCCAGGAAGAAAGGTAGCATCTTCTGGTTCCAGGAGCCCAGGAATCCCAGAGAAGTTCTTTAGATCTCTGCGATAATTCTCCGAAATTCCAGGATCCCCTGAAAGAGTCCAAGCCACTAATTGGAGATGACCTTGCATTATCATCGGATGAGGGTTTCCTTGAGGGTCCTCTAACAGGTTGGGCCATAGAGGTAGAAGGAGGGGATGTTGGCAGGAGAGGTCCAGGAGATCTGGGAACCATGCTTGGCCCTGCCAGAGCGGGGTGAGTAGTACCAGTGTGACCTGTTGTCTGCGAATCTGAAGAAGGGTTCTTGGGATCATCGCGAACGGAGGGAAGGCGTAGGCTCCCGTCGTCGGCCATTTCTGAAGAAAGGCATCTACTGCCAAACATTCCGGGTCTGGTAGCCAGCTGAAGAAGCGTGGGACTTGAAAATTCGTCCGGGAGGCGAACAGGTCCAGAGTAAACGGGCCCCTGAGTTTGGAGACGTGGAGGAAGACTGACCTGTGTAAGCGCCAGTCGCTGCCGTCTCTCCAATGTCGGGAGAACCAATCCGCAGTGGTGTTCGTCTCCCCCGGAAGGTATTCTGCCCGGAGTGTTATGTTGCGCTGGAAGCAAAAATTGTAGATGTCCTTTGTCACCTCGGACAGGGTGTGAGATCTGGCCCCGCCCAATTTGTTGATGTATTGAACGGCCGAGATATTGTCCATTCGGAGGAGAATACAGCAGTCTGAGAGATGATTGGCCAGACTGCGGATTGCAAACGATCCTGCGATTAATTCCAGACAGTTGATGTGGAGAGAGTGTTCTGCGTCGGTCCATGGTCCCCCGGTGGAAGTTGTATGACAAGTTGCACCCCAGCCTTGGAGGCTCGCGTCTGATTCCACCACAAAGTCCGGAGTGGGACCAAAAATTGCTTTGCCGTTCCAGGCAGACATGTGGCGAAGCCACCAGTAGAGTTCCTCCCTCACCTCGGTAGTGATCGGGACCCTTTGGTCGTATGATGGATGGGTCTGGAGGAATTGAGCCTTCAAGCGTTGCATGGCCCGATAATGGAGGGGACCTGGGTAGATTGCTTGAATGGAGGCAGAAAGCAGGCCTATAATCCGAGCCAAACCTCGGAGAGGTAGATCCACTTGGCGAAGCGTCTTGCGCAGTTCCTTCCTGATCGCGGTTAACTTGGACTGAGGCAGGCGGAGAACACAGGTGGAGGAGTCGATCTCGAAGCCGAGAAACTGAATGATTTGTGATGGAGTCAGCGAGGATTTTTCCTTGTTTATGACGAATCCCAAGGATTCTATCAATGAGGATGTGTAGTTCGTCTGTGACTGCAGCGTGGAGATGTTGTCGCAGAGTAGTAAGAGGTCGTCGAGGTAGATTAGGCAGCGAAAACCCCTTGCTCGAAGATGTGCGGTGACTGGCTTGAGCAGTTTGGTGAAGCACCAGGGGGCGGAACTCAGGCCGAATGGAAGGCAGGTGAATTGGAAGATCCGGTGGTGCCAGGGGAAGCGGAGGAAACGTCGACTGGATGGATGTACTGGCACGGAGAGGTAAGCATCCTTGAGGTCGAGTCGGGTGAAACAATCGCCTGGACGGAGAATGTCTCTGAGGAGATGTATCCCTTCCATTTTGAAATGCCGGTATATCACGAAGGTATTCAATTGGCGAAGGTTGATTACCGGGCGAAATTCTCCCGATTTCTTTTTGACCAGGAATATGGAACTTAGAAAGCCTTCGTCGTGTGGAGCTGGTTGAATTGCTCCTTTTGTTAGCAAGGAACGTAGTTCTGAATCGAGGAGGAGCCATTGAGATTTTGACATTATCGGGTAATGGGGAGGACCTGTTTGAGTAGGGAGAGAATAAAACTCTATGAAATAACCCTGAACCGTGTTTAGAACCCATGTATCTGAAGACAGCGTCTT